AGTACACATTTTCTTCCAACAACAAAACATCTCACCATATTTTAAGTTCTAACCATAATATTAGTTTTTTTTACACAAATATTTACTTTTTATCCAAAAATATTTATCGGAAAACCTAACTTTTAAATAGAAATTTTTCTTCCAATTAATCAGAGGAAATCAAGTTAAAGAATTAATCTTTGCCAATATAATTTATTTTAAGCCTTTTTAATATATAAAAAATAAATTATTCTTCAAATTAATATAATTTACCATTTAAGAGATAATGACTAGATACATTAAATAGTTTTACTAGTGACCTAAAATTAAAATTGAGATATATTAAATTTTCGTTAGAATTTATATATTTATTATTGGAAACCATGATTATTTTTTTATCATTTTTTTTATTTTGATTTCTTTCTATAATGATAGTCTAGTAAAATATATATTCTCATTGTAAAGTATGCTAAATAAATTATAAATTCTTCTAATGCAAATTTGAAAACTCTTGATTATAGATAGGATTGAGTTTTTGACATTTGCTAAATCAAAATAGTTTAATTAGTACACAAAATTAAATTAAAAAACAAAAACATGTGTGTATATTTTGTAAATATTTATACACTATGAATTTTAAATTTATTTACATATTTTAAATTGATTACATAAATAAATAATACTAACGTACATTAACTATTTTTAATTACATAAATAAAAGAAAAAATAAGATGTACAACTTCTATAATTTTTATAAATAATAATGACATTATTGACAACCAATTTATAATAAATAAAAATTAAGTATTATATGGTGAATAAGAATAAATAAAATAGTTATTTATTCTTATACGAAATAATATATATACTAAAATCGAATTTATATTAGTATAAATGCGTTAGTGAGATAATATATTAATTATTTTACAAGCTAGTCGTAACATGCTCATACTTAATGTTTTGGCTAGAAAAGTTCTGAGTAAAAGACGTGGAAAATAAATTATAACTTTATTGTTTTTTCAACTTAACGCTGATTAAAAGAGGTGGAAAATAGAGATAAACCTATTGTTTTTTATAATTAAACAGAGAGAGCCTGTGAAAATAACTCATTTAGTATTTTCGTCTCGTGCATCGCACTTAGGTACTAGTTTTAATGAATACAAGTTATTGGATTATTTTTCAAAGTTTTTTTATTAATGATTAACTCTTTAATTAGTAACTATTATATGTATAATCCAATATATATATTTGTGTGTGTGTGTGTATGGGAGTATCAAATGAGTCAACTCTTTAAAATGAGTATGTGAGATTCAATCATAGACAATGATTATGTGTAGATCAATGACTCATGTTAATCAACTAGAATACATATTAATGAAATACTAAAAATATTTATTTTTATGTAAATTAATTATATAATAAATAAATTAAAAAATAAAGTTGGCCGGAGTCGTTCGCTTGTGCCGTTGATCACTCCAACGTGAAGCACCAGCTCGACACCCCTCTCCGGCGTCGTCCTCGGAGTCTTGCCGCCCTCATGGGCCGACTCCCGCTGGTCCTCGCCCAACCCTAGTGGTGGCCCCACCCGACCACAACCACCTCAACTTTTTATGTGCAATGGAGGAGATCCGTAAGGGCAACTGTTCGAAAAGTCCTTGAAGTCGAACGATGTCGGGAAGTTGAATCGTCTGGTGATTCCCAAGCAGCACGTCGAGAAGAACTTCCCCCTCGGCGGTGGCAAAGAGTCCGGCGAGAACGACCGCTATTGGGGTTCAAGGAAAAGGCTGGCAAGTCGACGAGAACAGTACTCTTATTGGAACACCAATAGCTAGAGTCGCTTCATCAAGGAGAAGCGCCTCGATGCCGGAAACGACGTCGTCAAAGCGCGCCACTGTCGGAACGCCGACGCGGAGGAGGGCCTTTGCCGATGAGTATCTGCTAAAAATCTGATTTTGGACTGGGGTTGATTTTGAAAATTAGATAAATCTTAGAGACTTTGTTGCAATTTCAGTAAATTATGAGTTATTGCAATATGAGATGGGGTCAATTTATAATTTATTTAAAATATAAATAACTACACTATGACCCTTGAATTTTTTTATTAACAATTAATACACATTTAGTTTATTTATAGTGCATATTTATATAATACACAATGTATTTTAGTTATGAATAATGCATACTTAATTGAGAAAAGAAAGACATTATAAGCTCCAGGATATTACTGTATATTGCATATTTTGACCCCACATTTAGTTTAAACGAGCCGGATATTTGATTCAGACGTATATATTTAGTTCATAAACAATGCATAATTAGTGGATATTATTGTTATTGCACATTTAGTTTATAAAAATATTTATTTAGTTCATAGCAAATACATATTTAGTTTATATAAACTGCATAATTCGAGTGGAGATTTACTTCATACACAATGCATATTTGGTGTATAAAAAATTACATATTTCCCATACATATTTAGTTCATATCAACTCTATATTTAACACACATATTTAGTTCAAATTGGTCAATATATTTTTACTATATAATTAATTTGGTATAGTATTTTTTATTGTTTATTATATATTTATTGTAATACATAATGCATATTTGGTTTATTCATTATGCATATTTAGTCGATATAAAATATATATTTAGTTCATCAGAGTGCATATTTAGTTCATGTGAGTTTAATTAATACGAAATGCATATTTAATTCATAAGGAGTACATATTTAGTTCATAAACAATGCATAATTAGTTGATGTTAAAGTTGTACATTTAGTTCATAAAAAATAAATATTTAGTTCAAATAAACCGCATATTTCGAGTGCAGATTTGCTTCATACACAATACATATTTGTTTGATAAAAAAAAAAAAAAATGCAGATTTTGCATACATAATTAGTTCATATCAACTGCATATTTAGCATAAATATTTAGTTCAGACCGATCAATATTTTTTTTACTTTTTAATTAATTTGATATGATATTTTTATTTTCTATTATATAATTATTGTAATACATAATGAATATTCATTTAATTCATTATGCATATTTAGTTTATATAAAATGTGTATTAGTTACTGTTCTAAAAATCAACCTAGGTGGCGCCTAGGCGCTAGGCGGTGTCTGAGCACCTCCAATTTGCACAAATCGGCAGAAAAATCGGCCAGGCGGCCCTAGGCGGACTTGGCGGGCTCGGCGACCCGACGCCTAGGCGAACCTAGGCGCTCCTAGGCGGGCTTGTCAGCAATTTTTCAGTTTTTTTTTAATTTTTTTAAATAATAATTACATTATTTTGTTCTCATTTTTTTAAATATATTAACTTTATTATTTGAACTTATGTGTGTCGATTTATTATAAGTTGAAATAGTTTTATTTTGTAGGTAATTAAAATAAATAAAAAATAAGGTATTTAATATTGATTTCTAAGGGTGTGATTGTTTATGGATTGAATTGGTTTTTATTTGGTTGTTTTTTAACTATAGTTAATTTTGAAAAAAGGTGGTATGGTTAGTTGTTAGTGGATATATTAAAATAATATTTAAATAAAATAATTAAAGTTGATTTGATGTAAAGTAGGGAAAAATGATTGGAAGTGATAGTTAGTTAGAGTTATGTGAGTAGGTGAATAGTGAATTAAAGCTGATGTGATGTGTAATAATGATTGGTTGATATTATTTAATTATATTGATAATATTAAAGATAGTGAGGTTGAGTTAAAGTTGTATTAAATTTGAATTTTAATTGGTTTTTTTACTATTCAATTTATAAACAATCACCCCCTAAGCGTCGCCTAGGCGCTCTAGGTGCTGGTCAAGCGCTTAGCGGGCGCCTAGCAACTTTTAGAACACCGGTATTAGTTCATCATAGTACATATTTAGTTCGTATGAGGTCAATCATAGACATTTATTTGTGTACATCAATGGATTATATTAATCAACTTAAATTTACACTAATTATACAATAAAAATATTAATTTTTATATGTAAATTAATTATATAAAATGCACGGTTTAATTGCATATTTTCGGTGCATAATCATTTCATGCAAAATGCATATTTAGTTCATAAACAGTGTCACTTGCTTTTTGGGATTCCATCCTAGAAATCTTTCGTTTTTGGGATTCCAAACCCTGGGATCCCATAAATTTGCCGTACATGGCTTAGTCGAAACTTAGATCCGTAATATAGGTGAGGGGAGTGGGAGATTTAGAGAGAAAGTACGAACGAGAGAAAGAGAAATGAGCCGGCATGAGTGGAAAGAGGAGGGTTAGGGTAGAAAGAAGTGTTGAGGATATTTCTGTCATTTACGTACCAAACGGGCTAAAAAAGATCTTTCACCACAAAATGGCCATTTTTTCACTTTTGTTTTTCACTTTCACACGGCTACTTAGTAGTATTAATATTAACACTAAACTCAACCGCAGGAATACTGTAGAGTAATAAGCATTCTGGACGCCTAAAATATGCTCTCAGTATGTATTGGGTTCAACTGCGAATATTATTAA